ATTTAAAACAATTGGTTGAATTGTTTACACAAGAAAGACAAGAAAACATGGATTTAGAAGACACAAAAGATGATGACGTAGTGATATTTAGCGATTTATTGAGTGGATTAATGACATATTGCACTATCAAAGATGGTGGACATATAGAGCACAAACTTGGAGTTTCAAGAAACGGGCTGAGTTGGTGGTCGGACTGGTTGGACTTGGACCGTTAAACGGCGCATTTGTCAGTTTGGTCTAAAGTAAAATTGAATTTAGTTATTTTTAATGCATTTTATATTTTAAAATTAGTCTATAAATATATTTTTTTTCCCTTTTTTAAAATCCCATCCAACCTATTTGACAGGTGGTTGGATCAATTTTGATTGGGCTAAACCCCTAATCATTCCATTGGCTGGCCTGGTTCTAATAACACTGGTTTAACTGAAGACATTATTTACTTAAGTTTCCATAGCCTACTCTAAATCGACCACGGTTAATATTAAAAAAAATTAGCACATAGACTGTGCTCTTGTGGTAGTATGCTATCTATTTACTCCCTCGAGCCCAAGAGGTATTCAAGAGGATGTTTTCAATTTAAAAATTTGGAATCTACTTATAATCAATAGATTATTTATTAGAAAAATGGAAAAATGGATTTTGAGTTATTAAATACTTTGATCTACTTATCCAAGAATTGGACGGTCCCTATTCAACATTTTGACGTTGATTTTCAAGAACTAACAATGTGTGATTGAAATTTCTATTGTTCTTATTTCTATTGTTCTTGAGGTTGGTTCTTTGTTCAAGAAGTTACATCCCAAAGTTTATGGTCCTAAAAATATTCCTAGCTTGGGTTTTGCCCAAAGGAGCAAATACATAGTAGGCTTCCATATGAGCAAAAATTAATTTCAGTTAATAAATATAAAATATTTATTATACAAATTTTAAAGACTTGTCATTTGTTTTTTCTTATGGTATTGGCTTTTAAAACTACAGCATTTAACAACTTCGATAACTTTGATAGGAACTCGACACAATGCTCCTTGTGGCTATCAATGTAATATAGAATGAAATAGTAGCGTTTATGGAATATGAAAGCCATATTCTCTTGAAGCACCGATCTTTCGCTATACAATTATAATAAATGAGTTTTGTGTCAAAATAAACATATAGTTTCTAATTGTTTTATTTTTTATTTTTAAAAAATAAAGTTTTGGTGTACAAGCATGATGCTTTTTTTTTAAAAAGGTCTTACTCAGGGTATGACTTTTGATAAAACAGAATGACGGAACATACCCCAAATAGTTCGATAAGGCTCTGGCGGTGATGATGTTATGTAATTTTATTGATCATAGAAAGAAACTTATAAAGCTTGGACACAATAACAACTAGGGGATGCCCTCAATCAAGAAAATTTTTGGTCTAGAGACTCCTTCCTTAATGTTAGAATCTTAGGGTATGTAGAGAAGTCTCTGATGTTGATTGTTGATATTAATTGTTAAAGAACATACAAGACCCGTATAAATATACGACTAATAACAGTTCTGGATAGATACCAACAATTATTGATAATTGCTAACTAATCGTATCATAATCAACCTAGACACTTAATCTTATCAAGAGATATATACCTCTTTTAAAGATCCATAAGCTAACACTCTTCCTTAAACTCAAGATAAAGGAACTGGAGTTTGAATAGTAAGTTGCATAAAAGAACGAGTTGGATCTTCAAGTACATGGCGGGAATAAGTTGCATAAAAGAACGAATTAGATCTTCAGGTCTTCAGCTGCATGACGTGAATAAGTTGCATAAAAGAACGAGTTGGATCTTCAGGTGCATGGCGTGATCGATAGAAGCAGTGATCTCCATGCTCATATTGTCATGGAGATGGCTTGAACAACAAGCACATAAAGCAATTGAGGATTAAAACAGACGGCCTCAGGTACAAGTACAGAAAGCAGTAGAATAACAGATGGCTTCAGGAACAGACTTGAGCCATCACACAAAAAACTCCAGATCTTCACTGGAGACAGAAAAACAGTAACAGAATGGCACTTGAGCCATTAGAACTCAGTTTAAATCTGAGACCGATTCAATAGCTCACAAATCATAATAGACATGATCGAGTAACAAAAAACTTGGTCATTAGAAAAGATTAAAACACAAAACACAATAAGAGGAACTCGGTCCTTAGAAAAGATTAAAACACAAAACACACTAAGAGGGGTGGTTTTTCAAATGGGGAAGATAGGTTGTTTTTAGATAGCAGGTTTCAGATCCAAAGCCACGTGAGCACACAGTCCTCAAAGACAGAGATCACAACATATTCTTGAGGAGAGGAACAAGCAATGCTAGGCCACCCAAGCTCCTTTAGTCGAAAGCAAAGATCTACAACTCTTGAATAAGTAAAGCTGGTCAACACCACAGTTGGTTAAGACTAAAGAGCCATTACAACTACTGGATGAGGACGCACCCTCTGTGCCCACTGTTGGCTCTGATATTATGTTAGAAGAGGCATTTTTTTTGCTCACTGTTGGTTCTGATACCATGTTAGAATATCAAGTTATTGATTGTTAAAGAACATACGAGACCCGTATACTCCTTGCCTGCACCATGTTAGAATTTCAGGGTATTGCTTGTTAAAAAATATACAAGACCCGTATACTCCTTGCCTGCACCATGTTAGAATTTCAGGGTATTGATTGTTAAAAAATATACAAGACCCCTATACTCCCTGCCCACTGTTGGCTGATAACATGTTAGAATCTCAAGGTATGTAGAGAACTCTTTGATATTGATTGTTAAAGAATATACAAACCCTTCCTACGAATTAGATATCAACCTCCATGGTACTCTCGCTCCTTATTACAACACTTTATAATATTTAGAGAATTCCCCTTCTCAATACAACCCTAGCACTTATTTGATGAACTAGCAGAGGATTTTTTATAGGGAAATTAACCTGATTTTTAGAATTAAAAATAATCTCTTTTTTTTTGCGTACTTTATATGGGTTATTTTTCTTTCAGGAATTGTTCAGTTGCCTAAAATATCTATACTTGGTACTTGGAGTACCGGATTGCAAGTTAAACTTTTTTTTTTTTTTTTGAGAAGTGACACTTTAAGCAACATACTGTTTTATCTATAATAGTGTTGGGCCGACATTCCAAGCCCCGAACTAACCTTTGACACTTCAAGTGTCGGGCCATTTCTTTGTTTTTTTCAGTCCAGCATATTTATCAAACAAAGAAAGAGGGGTGGGCGGTTTATATCCCCCAATTCCCACCCATCACCCCTTTCTCTCTTTCTTCTCAAGAGTCCACAGGCCCCTGCGCTTGACCTCTGCCCTTTCTCTCATTCTCAGTGTGTTTGTTATAAACCTCACCCCCTTCATGTAAATTTGTCTTCTTTTTTTTTTTTGTCTCAGTTGGCTCCACACTTGAAGTTTCGATGGAAAGGAAGGTGGTCAAGCATCTCCTGCCGCAAACCTTGCCAAAGAGGTATGGCAATTAGAGTACCGGCTCTACCAATTTATGAGAAGGTGGTTTAATACTATTAAGTGTCAAATTGAGTTCTTGTAATAAAAAATTCAATACAATAAGGTATTTGAAGTTCCATACACTAATCATCTTTGGGTTAAATAAGAAATGACAAAAAAGTGACCAAGATAAAATATGGAAAATGATGAACTATTTTTAATTCCAACAATAAAAATGATTTTTAAGCTTATTTTCCTAAATTTATATGAAAATTTTATTTACCATTTCAAGTCAAGATTTTTGTCATATTCACAAAAGTATTGAAATTCTGAAATTGAACCAAGAATTTTGTATACCTTTTTCTCCTGAAATTTTATGAAAAAATCCTATTTTATTTTTTAAATTAAAAAATAGTTCTATATTTTCATATTTTGTACCTTCGAGTCATGTTTTTTTGAAAGCTCATGATGTACTTTAACTTTATCTTTTTCTTTATATATCAGATAAAACTCAAAGTTAGCATGCCCGTATTTCCCACCTTCAAAACTAATAAAATTATTAAAAAATAATTAAATTACCAAAATCCTTTGAATAATGTATGGGAATTTTGATTATTATTATTTTTAATTATTTTTTATATGTTGATAGATCTTTGATGGTAAGAGTTACGAATACACCAAGTTTCACCTAAATCCAATGTAAAGAAAAAAAATAAGATTTAAATAATGGAACTAAGTGTAAATATGAAATATATTTGACTATTTTTTAATTCTTCATCATCATAAATATTTCTCAAGTATTTCGATATGATGCGTGAATTTTAGTAAGTCATTTTGCTCGATCAAGGGTCATACCCTAAGTGAGGTCATAAGTCCTAATATATTTTCTCACTACTTCCAAGTATTTTCTTTTAGGTCTACTTTTTACATTTTTTTAGCTTTCTATTTGAAACAACTTGCACTTCCTAATGGGTGCAGTATTGGGTATGCCCTGTACATTACGATCCCACGTAAGTCTATTTTTTTTGATCTTAACATCTATTGGAACCACACCTAAATTATCCCACATTTCAAATTCTCTCTCTTCTTGTCTTGTCATTCATCCATCTCAACATCCTTATATGAATTACCATTTCTATGGGTATGTTTTTTCTTCACCGCCTAACATTTGACCCTATAAGATAGAGTTAGTCTCACAAGTGTCCTATGGTACAGTTCTTTTAGTTTTTTTGATATGCGACAATCACATTAAACTTTAGTTGCCTCTAGCTCTAGTTCTAATTTTTTTAGCTTAATTGGTATACAACAATCACATAAAACTTCAGTTATTTTTAACTCTAATTTTATGTGTAATATATTTCTCACTATCTTTTTATTTATTTATTTATTTATTTAGATAATATACTCCAATATAGAAAGTCATCCGGACTATTTTTTAATTCCAAATAAAATGGGATTCTAGTGCCCTTTTACCGAAATTTCGGCTCAAAATGTTAAGTGTTCACCCCCATAAGAGAGGCTGTTACCGTTCCGAAATTTCGGTGAATTTTGAGGTTCGAAACTTTGAAGTTTCGCTTATTGGGCGTACCAGGTTGAATTTGTCAAAATGATTGACGCCATGGCTGTTCAAAGCAAAGCCAGGCACGGTTTCCCTACTATCTGTCCCCAAATTTTATCCCAATGAATCAGAGACCAAGCTCAAGGTAGAATTATTTTCATTGATCCATGATCATGAGATGTTTCTTGATTGCCCATGATTCATGATTTCATCCAATAGTTACTTGATTTCAGCCAATGCTAAATTCCTTGTTTTCTCTTCAGCATTTCCCTTGATTTGATTTTACAATGATTTGGTTTCAAGCAAAATACCCCGTCTTCTGCTCTGTAAATTTATGTAGAATTATGGGTTTTTGTGATGATTACTGTTCCTGCAAAACCCCCTTTTTACTTTGTAGTGAATGAAAAGATGGGTTTCTTTAGTTGATTTCAGTCTCTATTGAAAGCCCTGTTTATCTTCCTTTAAATTCTATAAAAAATGGGATCACTAGCTACACATGTCTCAGCCTTTGCGTTTCTCTTTCCTTTGGGAGTAAGACGCTTGGTCTGTTCATTCTCATTTTATCTCAAGTCCCCATCACATTACAGGCCCAAAACATGGTATTTCAATGAACCCAAGTGGAAAAACTTTGATGTCTATATCCTCCTCATTGCCCTTCCCATCTCTGCATTCTCTGAAATCTTCTGGTTTTTAACTTTTGGAGGTCACCCCGTTTATCGATTCGCCTTTTTCCAACAAGCTGCAGTCTTACTCCTCTTCTGGATTATCATTCTTTTGGTAATTCTCAGAGAAAGTTTTGATTTTTTCGTGGTCCATGAGAATGTCATGTTCTTCTTCTCTGGTATGGTTTTCCTTATGGAGTATATGATCCAGGTTGATAGAGACTCTGGATTATCAGGCCATACTTATGATTTGTTGGGGAATTTGAGCCTTGTTTGTTCAGCTTCATGCTTGATTCTCTCTCTACAACCAATTGCCTTCTTTGCAGAGGTTGCACTTTCTTGTGGCCTTGTATTTAAGGGGACATGGATTCTCCAATGTGGATTTTCTTTATTCACCAGTGGATTTATGCCGAAAGGGTGCCAGAGGGTTTCAGAGCTTCCCTCCTATGATAAAAGCTCTATAAAGTGTGAATTAGAGGAGGACGGTTTAAGGGGCATGGCCTTGATTGATCTTTTGTTTGTGGGTCATGCTATAGGGGTGATGCTTTTCAGTTTCTTGCTATTTGGGTATCTCTCTTTTGGCCAGAATTTGAGATATGGAAGTGGAAGTACTGAATCAGATGCTATGCTTATGCGGCCTTTGCCTGAATTTGAAATTGAATAGCAGAGATATTGTCTTCTTATTAATCAGTCCTTTACCTGAAGGTTTAGTATATTCCACTTCCAGAGCTTAAATGAATGAAATTCTCATATTTGTTATTGGTTTGAGCTGTGTAAACAAAAGACTTTTTTGTTTATTTATTGAATTGAATTGTGTAATACTCTCTCTCTCTTTCACACACACATACGCACACAAACACACACTCGTCTCTCTCTCTCTCTCTCTCTCTC